TTTTGCTAATGAGCAGGATTGTAAATGTAAGCCATTTATGTGATCATCACTATGCATAAGCTTTACGAAAACAACACTAAACATGTCATGGAGGTATGAGATTGTCGAACTCTAGTTTTGTAAATGGTCTCATCATTTGGGTCAGAAAGAAATAGGCTTATGAGACAGTTACCAAAGTTTTTGCTAATGGTAAAAAAAAGACCTCCAAAAAATTAGTTTCCTGCTAAGATCACAAAACCCTCTTGTCATTAAAAAAATGGGACTACATGTATTTAGTAGCCACTGCCTCAAAAGATGAAGTCAAATAATATTACGTCTATATAGACTACATGTAAACACTTTTTACCTTGTACAATATTATGACTGTGTCTTTCCTTACAATTTGCCTTTGCAAGAGTTTGCAATAAAGTTTGAAATGAAAAGCAATTGAGAACACAACTTTTCAGCTTATAATGTATGTGTTGACTGAGAAACACTGCCAGTCTTTGAATCTAAAATGAAGCTGCAAAAGCCAAAAGGAGTGTGCAGTTTTCTCTGACCAGGGCACCTCCCAGGCCACAATACAGAAGCACAGTGTTTGTGAAACCGATACCTCCGTTACAGTGGGGCAGGTGAAATGGGCTTAAGTAGTGAACAGGGAGGCTGTATGGTGGTATTAAGGAGCCCAGATGCCTCCTTTCTATAGCAATGAACTTCTGATACGCACGGTAAAGTCCACATTAGATCAGGCGGTGTTACAGTCTCTATGGATGGAAGAACTCTGGCAGGGTGCCACAGTATATGGCCACATAAATGCAATTATAAGGATGACAGCTATGCATTCATTGGCCTTTTTCCCAACCTCACAAACCTTGCTGCTATAGAACTGAAAAAGGGCAATGGTAGGCAATGATTGTAGTCCTCTTTATGGCTTTAAAAAGATAATTTATTGAGACAGACTATGATCATGAAATTGGTATTGGGGTTTTAAAATGGTCACTGGAATACTGCAAAAGGTGTGACACAACAAAAACCAAGAATTCATGGTACATTGGGGACTCACTGTGGAAACAATAGTAGAAACACAATTGAAATGCCACAGCTAGTCTACTGGTGTGATGAGTTAGCAGTGGAGAAGTGACTGCAAAAACTGCAAACTTTAACCGTAAATATCTCTAGTTTAAAGGCATCCAATGCAATTTCATGGTGGGAAACAAAAAATATTATGAATAAGGAAATCTGTCTGATATTGACATTCACTGCCATTTCTTAGCACATTTCCGTCATCATTTCATACCTGAAGCATTTCCTTATTTTGGCACCACCTATAAATAGCTAAAACCAGCCTATGATACAAAACAAGCAACCATTTTCCATCAGCAACATTGCATTTTTGCCTTACACTTTACAGATATCAGTATGCTGTGGGATGGGGTTAAACTTACTGGGGTACTACTTTAAATATGATGAGAAAATTGACTTTGAAAATTCAGTTTTACTGTCCTGAAATTACTTTGGGTGCCTCCAAAGACACCATATTTCAAGATTTACAGTACAATTTACTTCAAAACTTGTAAGCTCAGGCATTTTACTGTGGTTTTGCCAGCAATGATTTAGTATGAAGAGAATGAGGGGATTTTTACTGTTATGGCCTCCTGATGGGTGCTTGAGGAAGACATGTGGGCAGTAACGACGGCTTTAATATTTCCTCTCACGTCAGAGTGAAGCACAGCGGCGATGAGGGTGTGATTCTTCCCACAATACACGCAAAGACGGATTATGATTGCATAACTGATACCGTTTGTTCAATAATGGTGGCGGGTAATCACCGGTGGGATTTCCCCGCAATGCCGGTCTTATTAAGTATAGATTGTCGCACACCGCAAGCAAGCTGGCGTGATCTCGGAAAATCTCGGCAAGCAAGTCACGGAGTAATGATTATAAAAGACATTACTGTAACAGTGGAGAAGGGTTGAGGTGTTCAAAAACTTGTTTTTAAAGCTATTGTAGTGTGGAACTCGCTGCCACTAAGTACAGTAGGGACATCATCATTAGATAGCTTTAAATGATGCTTGCAGTTAGGTGTACAAAGGTTGGGTGTAACAAGTCGTTCAGAGTAATATACACAATAGCCATCTGCTGTCGTATCACCATGTGCCTGTGAAGCTGGTGTGACACACTGAAGGGCAGCTATACTGTCTATACAGATACATGTACAGAAGCTGGTGTGTTACACTGAAGGGCGGTTATACCAGCAGCTAATTGAAAATTAAGGGTTATACCGATATACATGAAGGGGTAAAGGCTAAACTGGAGAAAGAATAAAATCATGTTTGCAATACTTTTTTCAGCAACAATAAAGATATAATTGCAGTAGTAGAGCATATGAATACATTATGGGCTAATTCATTCATATGCTTCTAAAAAAAGATGTCATTGAGATGTCATATTGCCAACAAAATAGGTTGTGACAATATCTTCGTTTCCACATTTTCAGCCAATACATGTACAGTTACATGTACATGAAGTACCAAATGTCAAAGTTTCTGAGATATTTTCCATTCCTTGCCTATAGCCAAATCATGAAATCTTCATTATAAGCTGTTCATTTGAGATATGAATCAAGTTCAATCATCAAGATCAGCAATACAAATCAATTAAAATGCAACCATTGTTAACACTGTGAATTCGATTACCGTTACACAATAGATCAATTAATCAGATCCAAGTCAAATTTTGCACAGCAGAAATTTGGACAGATCAGTGACATGTTATGTCTTTGATTGATGAGGAGCCTATAGACCATGTCCAAAATTGAGTTTAGAATATTGAACAATGGCAACAACTGATAGATACACCAGATATGTAACAATGAAGTGGCCAGAAACTTTAGCATCATATCAGTGCAAAATTAACATGAATGATTTTACAGTAAACCTGTACTTCAAAACTGTTACTCATGCAACTGGTTAGATTTGGAAGACTGTCAGATGTTTCAAGTACATTTGTACTTTTAATCAGCTGAAAAGGTCTGAGAGTTTTCAAAGTCTATCCAGTTGCTTGAGTAACAGTTTTCTTGTGTATGTCATTACATGAATGTCTAACCTTCAACATAAAACCTGTACTAATGTCCACTTTTGCATAAGGACCACCTAGCCATTATGGTAACTCATTGGTTGTCCCTTAAGTTGGGTTTTTCCCCATTGACCAAAGCATTAGGAATACTGCCTATGATGGCCACCTATTTACTGTGACCATTTTCTTCATGTGTCTTTGGTAATCACTATAGACAGCTTTGACTGTACATGTATGTACCTTTCGATAGTGAGCCAAAAAAACCAGTGCTAGTACATACATTTGTACATGATATTGGAAGAAACATGCTGAGATGAAAAATATTACAGTATGATATTATCGGCCGGGAGTTAGGGCTTAATTATTGATCCAGTCTGACCTTCAGCAGACCTGTATTGCAGGAAATGCAATAAGCTTTCCGTCACCGTAGAAAATCCACTTTATTGGTTATAAACTCAGCTTTGCAATAGATACCACAGTTCATATTCATTTCAACTTTACAGTTGAGTACATCATCTGTAATCAAGAGAAGACAACAGCTAAACATACAGCAGTGTCTTATGGTGAATGTGGTGCTACTCGCTGAGTCTGGCTACATCACGCTTCTAGCAACCCTCCCATTGGTCAGACCCCTAGAAGCTTGATGACCAATACCTCTACAGTGTAAGTTAGGAGAATTAGGAACATTTTAATCCCACAGTTGACCAGTCATTTTCAGACTGAGAACTGTCAGTTTCCACAGTGTTGGAGCCCGTGATGACTGGTTTTCATGGTGACAAAGAATCCTGAGCTCTTATTGGACTGGTTTTCATAGTGATAAAGAATCCTGAGCTCCTATTGGACTGATTTTCATAGTGATAAAGAATCCTGAGCTCCTATTGGACTGGTTTTCATAGTGATAAAGAATCCTGAGCTCCTATTGGACTGGTTTTCATAGTGATAAAGAATCATGGAGCTCTTTTTGTACTGCTTTTCATAGTACTTAAGTATCCTGAGCTCCTATTAGACTGATTTTCATAGTGATTAAGAAACCTGAGCTCCTATTGGTAGTTCTGAAGGGAATGGTTCTTTTGAGTTACAGGTGTATGGACACATGCTTTTGGGGAGGAGGCCCAATCAGCCCCTGACGAGAGACTGTATATTACAGGCTCACAACACTTGCTCTTGTGCCATATTCATGCAAAGGACATAAAACATCTTCAAGCTAAAACTATCAAATAACCCATAAAACAATGCAATTGAAGGAATTGCGACATTTTGTACTTGTTTTCAACATTTAAAAACAATGGCCCTCTATGAGGGTGTGGTTAAAGAACATTGTAAATGCCCAATCTATTTTTTACTTTCCCGTACACAAGATGCAAATGACAAATCTGTTTCAAATCTTTTTACTTCACTGTACACCATAGAAATGGGTTACTAGTATTGGAATGCCAATTAAACTCATGTTGATACATGTTAAAGTTACACCTAACTGCTATATATAATTGCTGTCTATCTTTTTCATCAAACACAGATATATCTGATACAGTACATAGCAGAAACCTTGCACTGTCTTTGATACTTGTTTATTAAAACAAGCCAAGAATTAAAACATATTATAAACATTTCATTATTGCTCAATAAACTCAATTATTATGATCTTCTAATATACATAGATCAGCATTTGGTCAGGGATCTTATAGAAGGACATATAAAGTATTTTTATGATTCCAGAGTAAGAATTGTAGTAAACTTGTACCTGATTTGGTTCTGCCTAAAGCCTCTTTTCAATGCTAGGTGGTCAATATGACCCATAGCAGCACTTCTCAGAGCACGCCAGCAAAGTGCCTTCATAAAACCCGTCATGTACTGCACATAGCACTTCAGCAGAATGTGCCATTTAAGATTGCATTTGTGTATTTAAGGATGACATCCCATCCATGTTTCCAAATCTTGTGTCAAGACCTTGATGCAACGTTGACTAAACTTGTAACGAAAACAGTCAAAAATTCAGGTTTTGCGGGTTCTGCCAACATGCTCTTTTGGGAGTGTATGACTTTGGTATCATTCCGCAACATGAATTTCTGTCCATATAAACTGTAGTTGACCACAAAACGACACATATAAAACCCTTCATACAGCTCAGGGCTGCCTCCAGCTTTCCATTTTTTGTCTCTTCCACTCAATGCTGGGTAGGGTGTGGGGTGGGCACTAAAACTATTGGGGTCCTGGGGCATGCTACCCAGGAAATTTGTCCAAATTCCAACCCTGTGAATCGCACACATTTTGGGAACCAAATTTCCATTGAGTAAAACTTTCCTCTTTCATTTAAAATATTTTTCATGTCATGAAGCTCAGATTATTGAGACGGACAGGGTAAAATTTTTGCCTGTTACAACAAGAAAATTGAGGCCCGGAACGGGTCCTGGAGACAGCCCTGTTACAGCTCGTCCAGTTTCGGTTCTGGATTGCTTATTTTCGGGGATTTCTGGAACTCACGGAGCAAGGCATCAGCGGCAGCACCTGGTGTGATCTCTCCCCGCATGACTCGGTCCTCTGTCCCGTCAATCAATCTCTGTACACCCGGATGTTGACGGAACAGCTGGAGAACAACAGCCATAATTCAGCACCAAGGAAAGACCCTGTCACACATTCAGAACCTTCCCTGACCATCAACCAACAAAGATTGCCTGTAATTCGGGGCAGTCTGACCAGATCTAGGCCACACCTACCTTTCTGTACAAATCAAATTGAATTTGAGTTAAATTTGAGTCAATCCCAATTCCCAACAAACCCTATGTTGACCTACTCCTGAACGCCAACCAAATGGCGTGACCTATAGAGGAACTAAATAAAAAAGACATAGGAAATTCAAACTCTACTGCTGGATAAATTACTGAGATGATTTCCGGATCTTTCGAGTGACACTCTTCTTCATCGTCACATGAACTAACAGAACTCCTGTATGTAGAATGGTTAGTTCCTGACCTTGATCATGCTGTCTTGTATATGGTTCCACATCCAGACCCGGTGTTGTCGACGCCGTTTCATGTCCAGTTCTCCCGAGTTCCAGGTCTTGTTCCGAAACCCTGTCATCCTGTCCCACGCTTTGGGGATCCCCTCCCTGGTTAACGAGGACACCCGTATTACCTGCAAACAACACACACTCTGGTCAATATAAGGAGATTTTTTAATTACCTCATGGGAAGTAGATATCCTTCTGTGGGAAGGTACTGTTTTAGGCCGTTTCTGTGTGTTCACAGCTGTAGTCCCTGGTTAACAAGGACACCCATACATATTACCTGGGAACAAGACATTGTTTTCAGTCATGTTTGTGTTCACAGCTATAACTCATGGTGGGTTTGATGGATTTGTTCAATTTTCGGTGTACGGTTAGTTTTTTGGGTCCAGATTGCAGATTGTTGCTTCTTTGAATCCGTATTGCTGGTATTTAAAACTTTCGTCACTCCCCATGCTGTATGTGGTGTGGGGCTTATGGGCTATACCACACTACATGTACTTTCAGGAGGGGGGGGTAAGCCTATATTGTATAAAGTAGCTTTACAGGTACCATTGTTCTTAATGTGATATCTGAAATTTGAAAATGTAACGGTTACAATACATTACTCTGACCTTCAGGCAGCCAGGCTGATTGTGAAGGTCAACACATAGTTACCAAATATACATCATACACGAAACAGTTACCAACAGATTATAATCACACAGTCACATAATCAAAACACAATCCAAAGATTATACCCAATAGATTACACAGTCAGATGATGGAAATTTGATACGGAGCATACTGAGTAGAATTAATGAGTAGAAACAATGAACGACCACAGAATACATAAAACCGCCTTAAACTCTTAACTCAACTTATAATCTCAAAATCTAAAATATCATTATATAGGCTCTTAAATCCAAGAAACAAACTGTAACCTTACAATGTATTATCTCATTCAATACTAAACAACAATTCCCTACCTGAATTTATTGTGTATCAGACAGACAGACCTGTACCCAATAAGGTCATGGTGATCCTTCAACATTACACACATGTATCTGCAATCATTAATCAGGAGGGGGATATTGCTGTGCTTTCAACAACTCTGACACTTGATCTAGAAGACTTAATGATTCTTGAAACAGTTCCTACAGCACGGGTGATTTATCTAAATTTGTACATGCTGTGCAAGTACCTGGCAAATTGAAAAGAGCTGAAGAACTATTAGTATTCTTTCACAGAGTGTGACAGAGAAGGGAGATAGCATGTACAGTTTTATACACTGTGAGGTTCATTGTACCAGAGGGAAATTCCCTTAGCTCTTTTCATCAAGCACAATGCTTAACGTCCCAACCAAAAGGACTGTGACCCTTTTCAGTACTGTACATGAGAGCTACAACAGCCAGGATTCAATGTCTCCAACTCTATCCAGAGATCCAAAAACTAGATCTAGAGGCAGGGATACTAACTACTAGTACTTGACTATGCACATTACTAAGAAGTTAAGCTACATTTTGTACATGCCATAGGAGAAACACGGTTCTTGAGCAGATTTCAGTCCAAGCTTTGGGTCAGTTTTAATCAGAAAGTTTGCCTGTACCTTTGCCATCTTTGGAGTAGTGTCTGGGTCTAAAATTTCCAGTGGTTAGCGACCATGACTTTTGAACCGAGGGTTTAAATCCTAGCTGTTGTTGCTCATCCGACTTGCACACAACTGGAAAGGGTAGTGTTCCCTAGGAAAAGCTGTTAAACTGTGGTCCACTGTTCATTTTTTATGTTGAAAGGAGGAAGCAGAATTTCCCCGGTACAATGAACCTGTAATACTGTACATGGTGTCTGTCTTCTCTGTCAGAACTAGTGAAGAGTAGCTCTTCAGTGAGCTTACAGAGATCACTTTCCTTTCTTTTCCTTTGGGAGAATACAAACCACAGAGATGACCCAACGTAGTTCGTTCCTCGTCTTCTGAGACCACTTTAGATAACACCACTTCACCCTAATGTCTTCTCAGCACTGACCTCTGACCTCATGGTTAATTAGCCAGAACTAACCGGTGCCAATAACTTGCAATGGCTCTCATTCTTTATCTTATAAATAACACACTGACCTACATAAATACAATTTACTTTGCCACAGAAGATACAGTGGTTAAAACTTGGTCTGTAGATGGATCGTACATTGCCAAATGCATTATGTTTTCTGAAATCCACTTTGGTCACATAAATTTCACTGTTGTTTGTATAATTTGGTGTTAACACTATATTTACTGTACGCTTCAGATTTGGGTCATGGGTAGGTGTACTTACCCATGCACCTTTAGTGTTATCCATTATGGTTATACTCTGCTTAATTTTCCGTGTCGAAGAACAATTTGTATGGAGATAAATGTGGTAGATGTGTCGGATTTGGGTTATCCGTATTGTGTGATTCAATATTACTCATATTGAGCCGCTGCCATAAACATGAAAGTTTAACAGACAGATTGAATTACTTCTGGTTCACTGAACAAAAAAGCAATTTCCAGATGGAGTGTATCAGTTGCCTGATAGACAATCACTTTTGCCAAGCTGGGAATAAAGGGCTTAATAGAACGTGGGTCTTCATGTAATAAGTAGCACAGACTGTAAGATACTTTTTAATTGCAGACATGGCCACAACAATTTAATTTGTTGGTTCTCAAGTTTGAAAAGATACCATGCTGAACTGGAATTACTACTTTAAATTTGCATTAGGTACGACTTAAAGCATGCGTGAAGGTTCCATTTTCCTACTCAAGTGAAAAAATGGGATCTTAACACAAGCTTCAAGGTACATGTATGCTTAAAGATATAATTGCATGCAGTGTTGTTAAAGATATTATAGGACTGCATGCAGTGAATATCAACATGAAAGCACAAATAGCATGGGCTATTATCAAGGACAAATTTTGAGGCTAATATAAGAGGGGGGGTGCCTATTGAAAGGATGTCCCTAACTGAAGCTAGGTACTCATTTTCACCTGAGTGAAGTGGGGAGAGTTGTGTCAAGTGCCTTTCCCAAGGACACAACATTGGGGCATAGATGTGCATTTGAACCCTGGATCTATGAGTTCTGGGCCAAATGACATTAGACACATTACGCCACACAATACCATGCATCCTCAGTTCCAATGGACATAAACATAAACTATTTAGGAATGCACATTAACTATTACAGAATGCTAAAGACATGCAATATTTATGTCTCTATAAACTAACTACCCCCATAACGTTGTTGCCCTTTTTATTCTATTCTGTTTAGACTTTGCAAGGCTAAGAAGTTTTATGCTACAGGGGACAGATGCCCCAGTGATAATCAATACATGTAAAACTCCTGATGGAGCCATATAATTTGCTCTGCAATAAAAATACAGTTCAGATATTAAAGGTAACGTTTTTGCAATGGAGGAAAGCTATCGAAACTAATCACTAGGTTTAGTAAGAAGGCATCAAATTGCAATTTGACTAAAAATAGGCCAACAGCCCCTTTTGGATTCTTATGATCTATTCCGTCTCAGTTTTAAGACTTGTGTAACCTCAATTTCAATGTTGCACATCAGTAATTTTCCCCCAATGGCCTACACAAAGTTTGATTGATATTACAATTACTTTTACACATTAATCAATAAGTGAAGAATTCACTTACAAAAGGTACATGTAATCTCTGCTAAAGACTTACATAAGTGACTTTCATAGATTATATTGCCATGATATCATATTGTAAACCATCTTCTGCACAATTCAAGACATCAAATAACCTTCATCTCTTTGGAGCTTAAAGAATCTTCCCATTGAAAAGTGTGCAGGCAGTTAGGAACAATTTTCAATGGAGGAAGAGCAAAGAAAAATCTCTTTCTTTCTTTCTTTCTTCATTTAATATCAAGATTTACCACATTAGGGGATGGACTGACATAACAGGTGACTGTCATCTTTTCAAGATGTCAAACCTGAGACCAGACTGTAAGGTTTGAACCACTTACACTGGGAAGGACCCCTGATCTTTTCAATAAGTGTGGAGGGCTCTTTAACATGCTCGATGTGTGACTCTCTTAAAACACTGGGCCTCCGGCTTTACATCCTATCCAAGAACACATCTCTAACCAAAGCTAGGTGCTCATTTTCACCTGAGTAGAGTGAGGAAATGGGTGTTCAGTGCCTTTCTCAAGGGCACAACACAGGGGCCTACCAGAGATTCAAACCCAGAACCTCTGGATTCTGAGTCAATGACCCTAACCTCAAGTCCACCTTGCCACCTTGCAATGTAGGTGGATTCAAACCCAGTGTAAGGTACATGACTATGTACATGTAGTAAAATCAAAATGGACAAAAAAAGGAGATACAAACAACTTCTTAACTGTCCCTCCCTGATATTGCCGAATGGAATAACCCATAGTTGCATCATCCTTTGTACTTTCACAGAGGGTCAGGTTTATGATTTTTATTTGTGTTCCCATTTTCCCTTCGGCGAAAACCATTTGGCATCGCAGTAAAGCTAGCCAGTGTGCTCGCCTGGTTTACGATGTCGGCACTTAACATTTACGAGGTCCCACAACTTTGAGGTTCATGTTGCAAGGGCTCGATTACCATAAAAGGGCAGCAGCTCCGTTTTCAGTACCAAGGCAAGGTCCAATCACACAGGGGTTAAGTGATGTATCGGCTGATATGCCACTTGTGTGATCACTTACTCTGTGTGATGCTGATTGAGAGGGGCATTGTTGCAACTTCAAGCTGACATTGCCCATTTGTCAATGTCTCTACTATAAATTGGTATGCATAAGTCCAGTCTGCTGTTAGAAATAAAAACAGTGTTTGCAGCTCTTTTGCAAAGGGTGTAGAATCATTTGGGTGACAGAGATTCGAGGGGATTGCACCAGCAGTTTCTGGTCTTGGAAGTTTCCACATAGTTGTGTTGGAAAAGACATCATAAGCAACAGACAGAATTCTGATGCAAAGTTGACTACAACTACATTAGTAACTACAACTATTTTTGGTCATTTTTTCAGAGTTAGAATACTCAAAATTTGAGCAAAATATCTCCAGTCCATTTTTAAAAGTAAGCAATAATAAGTAAACATTGATTACTTTAAAGATCAACTGAAACATACAAATGACCGCCGGTGACCCCAAAT